AAAACAAACTCCAGAAGTAACAATGTTATTGTTATCAACCTCAAAATGCTCGTACATGCACTTCTTCTGGAGAGTTGAATCCTTCTCCGGATCTTTGTCTGCCGACTCCACAGTCTTGCAGTCATCTTGGCAGGCCGTGTTAGTGTAAGTACTATCTCTCGACACATACATGTCGCACTTAGAGCTGCTGTTGAAGTCGGCGACACAGTTGTCAGGAGTAAGGTTGTTTAAGATCTCCGGATCGTTACAGCACTGTTCAATCGTCGAGTAACACTGAAGCCATCTCTGGTTATTACCTTCACCCCGGACACATGAGCCACCTTGAAGCTCCGGTGCTTCGCAAACTGTACAGCCACTAACACCTACCACATTAGGTGCGATGCAGTCACCTGCATACGAAACACCGAATAAGACATAAAAAGTAGTGAGGTTCTTCATGTTCAAGTAGTATAGTTTCTAGAATGTTTTCTTCAGATGTCACTCCGACACCCTGTCGTCGGTGACGAGCAGTCAAGGCCCATGATCAGGACCCGTCGGCCCGCTTTGTTTTTTTTTGGTTGACGGTACAAGCTCTCTAACCTTTTGGCACCCCACGCAACTCATGACAGATCAATTGGCGGTAGTCACTGGATCTGGAGGCCTGAATGCGCAGTGCTCTCGCCGACCCCAATTCTTTACGATGCGTAGGCCCCAACCCTTTCCAAGTCACATAGCGGACATAACGGACAAGACTTTTTTGCACCAGGAAACGAACGGTTTTTTTTGGGAAGTAGATAGGCTAAAACCGCCCGTTTAAAGCAACGCAACCAGGGTAGAGAGGGTGGTGGTAGACCCGACGAACGCAGCTGGCTACAAGTTACTATCGGGTCACCCGCCCTTCGTTCTCCGACGCCTTGACTTTCGTCTTCCGCTGCGTCACTACCGCGAGCACGTTTGATCAAAAATGTGGTCCAGCTTCCTGCCTCAATATTCTGGAAAAAATCTGTGGGCCGCAAAAAATCGGAGGGTCCCACGCGCGAACCTTGAGGTTGGACCTTGGGGGCACCGCCGAGCGCTACGCACTCAGGTAGATCCCCCGTCTTGACTGAGTTGGCACAGCCCCTCAGTTGGAAATGGGTAAAGCGAGGGTTCCCATGCGCGCTCTGTATTCGTCGACAGTCGCCGCATCCACCATTATCTTTCCCGCTGAAAGCCGGCCCTCGAGATCTAGTTTGGCCTTGGCGTCTTTCCACGCACCTCTCAAAACCGCCCCTGGATTGCACGGCTGGTATCTGGGTACGGTGACATGTTTGTCATCCGTCTCGAAAAACCGGGTAAGTGACAGTAGAAAGAACTTGAGCTTTTTGATTTTATTAGCCTTGGTTGCAGGAGTCGGGCAGCGCGCCCCACCGGCCCACGCCGCAATGGTCTTCCGCAGCTCTGCCGAAGCCCCACACGTTTTTGGGTGCGTTAGAATCACTTGGTGTACCGCAAGCAGGCAGGCACACCCCGACAAGAGAACGTTCCTAAGCAAATCCTGGTTTACCCTAACCGCATTATGTAATGCGATCAGCTCCCCCGTAGACAACTCCACGTGCTCCGCGGCCGGCAACCCTGCTTCCATTTCCGGCACTTGCTCGAGAAGGTTGAAACAACTCCTCGTTGCCTGGCTTAGTGGGTCCCAGGGTTCTAGCGACCTAAATGCCTTGACCATATCCACCGGCATGTCATTCACCTCAAATGTTATTACCGCACTAGACAGCAGCACACGTGTGTCTACAGAAATGTTCGAACTCAATCCCCTCATTTTAATGTTTCTCAAAAAAAACCTCTTCTCGCTCGTCGAGTCTCATTCCAGTCTTTTCTTTCTCAGTGGAGTCTGATGAGCCGGCCCGCCCGCTGGACCCCGAGCTCGAGTCCGTGGTACCGCTGCCAGTGCTGTCCGCCATCGTAGTCAGTTTCAGGTCAGTTCAAAAAACTTTATCATACGAGCCGTTCGTGTCTCTGCGTCTCAATACGCCCTCCCGTCTCACCACTCCCCCACGACTCGCCACGTGAAGAGCGGTAGGAGGCCGGCAAAAGCTCGCCATTGTGATGCTTCCTTTCCTGAAGTCGTGTGACGTCATGACTTACCATCTCTCCGGACTCCTACCACGCCCTCAGCCGGCATCTGCCTGTACGCCGCCATGAAGTCCTTCTCACTGGTCTGCTCGCGTGTACCAACGCCCCCACGTGTGCCATAACCGCACCCTCGAGCGCCATCCGCTCCATGATCGCGTCGTCCGCCACCTCGGCAGCGGAGCGCGACAGCCAACCCGCCATACAGCTCTTCTCTTGAGGCATGAACTCGAGTGTGAAGTCAAGCTGACTGAGCGCTGCGGTCCATCGGAAGTTCTTCCCTTTGTCGACCCCCGTGAGGTAGCGGAGATTCCCGTGGTCCGTCCTCACAGTGAAGTGAGCCAAGGCGACGTAATCCTCCCACTTGTCTACTACCCGTTTCACGCGAACGTCGGCGGGAGCCTCCGCATTCCTGACATTGTCAACCTTCTGCTGACACCTCACACTGAAACTCATCGACTCATTCACGCGCCTATAGTCCAGCACACACTGCCACTCTCCCGTCCTCTTCTTGACGAAGTGCGGTGCTGCGGCCCACTCGCTCTTTGACGGCCTGATCACACCCAGCTCCAACTGCTTCTTCACCTGCGCTCCTCTCGCAGCTCCGGCTCCAGGCGGCTCATACGCGACTTGTACGGCCGTCCCCTCACCGTGAAACGCCTCACACCCGGCCTGTGCCACCCTCAGCGACTCCCACGTATCCCTGTACCGCACTAACAAGCTCCGCGGCCTCGTGCGGTCTGTAGGGCTCATGTGTCCTACCCGAACAGACGCGTCTTGCGCCTCGATGTTGCCCTCCGCAAGCTCCGCAATCCTCGTCTGGCTCCGTGACGAGCATGTGACCGGTAACAATCACCGTGGCTATCTCCTCAGTCGGCGCTGACAGCGCAACCTCCGCCCGCTCGCAGTCTTCCCTCTTCAATAAGCTGAGGCCCGCACCGTGTCCCTGTAGAATTCTGTTTATCTGTGTCTCCACCAGCAGAGGGTTGGTCGGACCCATTCATTCCCCTGGTTGTGCGGGTCTCGTAACCGGTGTAACCGCCCTCGCTTGTTGTGGGTCTTCTTGCATCACATCGTCGCTCCGCCTCTGTCTACGACGCTCTCAATCTCCGCGGTGATGAACTTCTTGGCTGCACGTAGGTAGTCGCGCCTGGAGCCGTCTCCTCTCACCTGTAACGTCGTACGGCCCCGACTTACGAACGCCCTCAGGGCGGCGTCCTGATCCGTCAGGTAGGTCCTGTCACACATCACCCGCCAGTGACCCCCCCGACCGCAATTCCAGCACTTGTCGTCATGGCTCGGGCATGCCTTCTGGTGGCTACTACGGCCGCAGCCGCCACATCTGTTCGAACCCTCGTCATCCCTAGCAGGGCGACCCGGACCGCGTCCGACCTCGCCGCCAACACAGGAGGGGCTCCTCGCTCAATCATCGGCGACAACTGCCGCAAAGCTTCGAGAACTGACCTACGCTACGACCTCAAGACCTGGTAAAATGCCTTCGCCCAATCGTCGTCTGGCGCGGCCGCCAGGATGCAGCCCTTCAGCACGTCAGCTCCGATCCCGGCCGTAGCCCCCTACGCGCCGCAAGTCGAACGAACCGATGCAGCCTACCGGGCTCGTGGACCGACTCCGACGACGACGGACACAACACGGACTTCACACAGCGTGCTGTCAGGGTGGGGGGGTCTTCGCTGCTTCGCACACGGACGTCCCTACCCTGACCCCTCGCCTCTATTTACGAGGTCCAAGCGCGACCTGACCTCGACTGGGAACAAGGACCAGATGTCCGTCACCAGCGTCTCGGCGTGTATGTGGTACGCACCTCGTTCAGAGACGTTGCCACCGCGTCTACCGTCCTCGAATTCCACCTCGGTCGGGCACGCAAACGCGGGGAACTTGCACTTGTACAGGCTCTCCCGCCACTCCTTACGTTTCTTAGAGCTCGTCAACGGAGGGCGGGAAGCAGGGTACCCGACCCGCGGGTCCAGCAGCTGTCGCCAGTGAGTTTTCCACGGTGGGTGGGGATCGCTGTTGCCGTTGTCCCTGGGTTCGGCGTCGCTGTTAATGGTTGTGATGTCCGGCACTTGTCCTTGCATTTGTCGGTATAGTCGTGGGGATGAGTTGTGTCAAAGATATGTATAAAAATCCCTTTTGAGATCGTCGTGTCTGAGACGGCAGAGACACGAACGGCTCGCACGGAGTGGGCGATAAAGTTTATGTGGGACTAGTGGCAAGGAACAGACCACGGCGGCGCTCAGCAATGACTACGGACATTGCCACGAGAATGTTCCCAACCAGCAACTACGTAGCCAACACGTGCGTGGCGATTGTGACCATATAATTTGGAGACTTCCAACAACTCAGGGAACTGCTCAACCAGAGACTAACGCCCTACGTGAGACTAGTTCGGTCCTGGGGTGCCATATCGCGCAAATTCCTGGAGCGGCGCATCCTCGACGTGGCGTCTCCGAAGCGGAGGCACTGGGCCGAGTCTGTTCGACGTCCTGCAGAAGATAACCAACAGCTGGTGAGGGACGCCGGTGCTGGCCGTCGTCACAACGAAAGATGACATTGACAGCGTACTCTCCCCACGCCGAATAAGAACGAAGCGGCTCTGCTACAACTACGGACTTCCCCGCCACGGAGAAGGATGCCCAGCACGCAACCCACGTTGTGACAACTGCGGTGGGGTGGGACACTTGAGAAAGGTGTGCTCTACTACGTGCTACCAGGACGCATACGGAAAGCCCGGCCACTCTGTGACAGAAACGTGACGCCTCCAAGTCGAAGTGAAGGACGCCTAGCATCAGCGGAAGCCACCGAGATGTGGACTAATGATGACGTGGAAGCCGAGCAGTCCACGAGAGCCCTCCTGACATGGATTATCGTAGTTTAAGCAGCCTTACACAAAACCATAAAGAATATCGGAAGGCGGATGAGAGCCCTTTTCAGTAAAGGCCCGGGCGCGCGGTATTTTGTTGCAGTTCTTTATAGCTACCGGAGCCGAAGTCAGTCTACTACGGCACAGTACTAGGATTTGGCATCCTGTCCCTCACAGTACCAACCGAGACACGCATCGGCGACCACAAGAAGGACGTCACCTCCACGATCATGCCGCCGAATGACCCGCCCAACCTGCTGGGCACACCCGACATGGACATACTGCCCACGGCAGGCCCACGCGAAGCAGAAACGGCTCTTTTAGCAGATGGACGGCGAGCACCGTGAGCGGCTGTGGCAGCTCCTGGAGGAGTTCAATGACACGTTGGAAGACCTCAGGGTGGCAGAGGTCAAGTGTGAAGCAGGTCGCCAAGCAACTGGGGCAAGAACTCATCCGACCCTCCAAAAGCGAGTGGGCTGCCACTCTTCACTCTGTAAAGAAGAAGACCGGGGAATGAAGGTGCGTCATCGTAACGTTGAAGACCATGACGCTCCGTTCGAGAGTGATGAACGATGGGTCCGGCTTCGCAGCACAACGCCACCAAGATTAGCTAAGTTGAGAACGCCTCCTTCGCTTAACCCGTGCCACAAACGCAAAAGAGATGTACTGGTATCTATATTTGAAGGGTGGCGTGATGTGGAATATTCTATGGGAGAATGTGTGCGCACACACTTTTTAGATAAAAACTAATCTTTGACAGCTCGTACATTGGGGGTTGGCTAGGTTCAGTTGGGTTTGGTTAGGCTGAGGAATTTTAGTGTGTGTGAAACAAGCCAGAGAAAATTAGCCCAGATGAGGCGCTGCAGATGATGGACATCTCGATACCGGGACGCCCGCCCACCAGGATCCCGTAACAAACGTGGTAGACGACATGGTTTGTCGTGGCGTCACGGGGCAAGTGTCACATCAGGAGCCCTTAGAACTACTCCAGCGGGGACGAGGCAGACCCGTGAGGACGAAACGAGCCACGGATGGAGGCGCATCCAGCGACGACACAAGCGGACCAAATGGGTCAGGATGACCGACCGGGTCGGGTGAGCCGGCCACAACCGGTGGCGAGACAGGAAGGGTTTCGGAACCTCTGCTCACCGCGCACGGGCAACCTCATGCGGTAGGAGCAAGCCCGACCTTCTCCGTCTCACCGGCGGTTGTGACCGCACTCATCTTCGACCCGGTGTCCAGAGCCCTGATACCGCCGCCAGGATCCCGTAACATCGTCGACTACCGCAGGCTCAACGCGGTCATCGTCGCAGACTCCTACCCCCTTCCACGCATCTGGGACCACCTGCGACGAGCGGCCGGACAGAGATACTACTGCACGCTAGACATGAACTCAGGGTTCTGGAATCTGCCAATCGAGGAGGGGTGTAGGGCGCTTACCGCCTTTACGGTTGGCCTTTCCGAGTTCAATGACATCCCATTCGGCATCAAAAACTCGCCCGCTGAGTTCCAACGCGCAATGGATTCCTGCTTCGCGCCGCTGGTAGAAGAAAATGCATTCTGCTACATTGACGACATCGTCATTTGTGGACAGGACTTTGACAGCGCACCGCAGCGGGTTAAGCTCTTCCTGGAACAGTGCAAGGAGACCGGTTCCTACTTGCGCCTTCAAGGTACCTCCGGCATGTCGTCGGCCAGACGGGCATAAAGGTCCAGGAGAAGAACCTTTATGCCCGTCTGGCCGACGACATGCCGGAGGTACCTTCGTCCACGCACCGGCCCCCACCAGCAAGAAGGAGCTACAAAGCTTCCCAGAGATGTGCGGCTACCTGAGACCCTTCGTCCCCGAGTTCTCACACATGACGGCGACGCTATTTGACCTGCTGAAGAAGGACAAGACCTACGAGTGGCGGGACGTGCACGAGAACGCCTACGACCAGCTCCGACACGCCATCCAGAACACCGTCACGCTGCATGCCCCCACCGACAATGGCAAGTACATCATAGAGACCGACGCGTCCGAGTTAGGGACCGGGGCTCTACTCAAACAGGTGCAAGGAGACGCCGAATTCATCTCCTGCGAATCCAAGAACACAGTCGACTGGCTCGGCGAATACGCCGGGGACGACGAAGGAGACTATTGGACCGGACCCCCGACCGCTCAACCTCCCACCCCCGACAAAGAAATACTTCGTCAAAGCATACGCCGAGGAGGGGAACCCCAACCTACCAGGACAACGGCCTATGGCGGATCCATCTCAGGACAAAGAAGATCTACATCACCCGCCAGTTGCGCACATGGCTGGTCATCGCATTGCACTTCGGTCCGTGTGGCCACCTGGAAGTCGGCAAGACGCGCAAGAGGGTATAAGCCCTATACTACTGGCCCGGCGGCGCCCAGGACATCGAGAAAATGATCAGAGAGTGCCTCGTCTGCGCGAGACTGAAGACACCGCCGGTGCACCAGCAAGGACTACCGACAGCGACGCTGGGAAAGGCCGTTCACGTCGCGATACGACCACGTGGGACCAACACACATGGGAGACGCCGACCGGAATATCCTCGTCATCATCGGCCACGCGACCCGATATATGATGGTCAACATCGTTCCAACGGTGGACGCCATGCAGACCTTCAGGATCTTTTATCGGCACTGGGTAGTCCCGTTCGGACCCCCACGAATAATACCGGCTTCAACGGCACAAGCTTCCGAGGAGCCTTTCGCGCAAACACAACGTACCAGCTGGGACGTAAGCACTCGACCGCAGCGTCGCACCGACCACAAGAAACCGGCATCAACGAAGCCTGTCACCAAGAACTTCACAACGTGCTCAAGGCCGTATGACAACAAGATACCGGAGACATGGAACTAATGGTAGATGCAGCCACTCACCGCATTTTGTAACGACCCACTCAGAGATAAACACGTGGTGGTAAACACACCCCGCACGGAAGTCGTCGAGCTGGAAAAATACGGCCAGCCAGGCTCAACGTTCCAGGTACACCAGGGCAAGGTGAGGAGGTTCAAGCGAAGTGAGGACGCCCAACTCGAGTCCATAACACGGCGGTCTTCGCAGAACGTAGAGGACGAGACCGCAGCGACGCCGAAGACCGGGACGACGGCAATAGCGATGCAGCTCACACAGCGTGTCTGCGAGTCTCTGCCTGGCAGCGGTGCTGCCCTTGGCCCAAGCGCTTCTGGCGGTGGCAGGAATGTTAGTGTAGATCGAGCCAGGACCGCGGACGGATGACCTGGAAAGAGTCGCAGGGACGGGTGGGAGTGGTGGAGGGAGCCGGAGAGGTTCCCACCGGGGGGGTACTCATGATCGGCGACCAGGTGGTCCTGTGCGTCTTTGACCGCCTGGTTCACTCGGGTTATGACTCGTGCCACAACATGGCCGACGAAGGCATCGGCTTGGCCGACCGTGAGGAGGTCCTGCACTTAGATCTAGACACGAAGATCTAGAGTCAAAGGCCAGAGCCGAAGGTGGTGGGTTCGAGGCGCATGATCGTTTTTTGGGGCATCCCCGAAAAAGCACAGGCGGAGGATATAACGAAACGAACCCACACCCCAGGCATTCGTCCAATGAGTTCGGCCAATACACCACAGCTATCTATCTTAAGATTTAGCAAATTCCATGCTCTGCATAACAGCTTGTTTGCGAAAGGATATATAACGGAAATCTGCCTACGTCACCCAGCAAGACTTTAACAATGAGGTCGTCATAACCAACTCAGGCCGTGCGGTTAGGTTACTACTTTCTCCAGGTCCAGTGGCACACAGGTTGGCTACTGACTCTGCTGACAGCTCAACGCTGTGAATACGGCACTCATGAGAGCTTTGTCGACCGGGGCCTCGGGGGGCGGTAGGCCCTGGAAGGGGTCGCGAGCCGTGGGGGAAACGTGACTGGCGAAATGCGAAGTGTGGCTGGCGGCTCTCGACCTGTTTCGGTAGGTCACTGGTTGGTGGACGATCGCTCTGACCCGGGTTACGACTCCGACTCCGACGTGCCCGTCAACGAATATAGCGTCTTGGTTGACGATCCGAAGGGAGGCCGTGAACCGAAAAGGGTCGTGAACCGAAAAGGGTCGTGAGTCGGACCGAAGGCGCTGGGTGGTTTTTTTAGAACCTTTTGGAAGAGACACCTTCCTTATGCCGAATGTTGTGGACATGAGATGTCATTGGGCAACTACCTGACATCACAGCCATCACGGCGACGCAGAACAGGAATACGATACCCCGGCCCACCACAGACAGGTTCCGGCCGCACACCGTGACGGCGGCAATTCTCCTCAGTGCTGCCAGCGTTGGACGAGCGGTTAAGTGGCCGTCCAATTAAATAAGCCGAAGTAACTGCCGAGAGTGACGGAGAGAGCCGAGGGCGACAACTATGAATGGCCCTACTTCGAGGATCAGGATTGTCTCGGACGGAGGTGTGGGTGCTTCTGGACTGATGAGTAGATGTGGCCAACGATGGAGAGCAAGATCCCCGCCAACGGTTTGGAAGACTTCGCTGACATAGAAGACTTAGCGGTCAACAAGGGGATGACCTTGAAGACTTATCCAATACCATTACAATCGGAGCAGCTACAATTGGCTGCTGGTCACAAATAGCACACGTGTGTCTAGCTGGAATCTGGGCGAGGAAAGTCCACAATACACGGCGTTTGTGTCGCTTAGAGGCACACTCAATTACATCGTGGCACCCTTTGGCGTGAAGAACTCCCCCTTACTCTTCCAGCAGATTACGGATCGGGGCTTTGATGGACTGATCGGGAACAAGGTGAATGTGTATGTAGACGACATAGTTGTGTATGCGAATGACATGGACACGTTGTTCGAACGGTTGGAACAGGTACTAGAGAGGTGCTGTGATGCGGGTCTGCTCTGAAGTTGAAGAAAGGAGTTCGTGAAGCAGGAGGACACGCTGTTAGAGACCATGGATGCGTGAGTGAACCAAGGTGGTTTTTGGGTTCTGATACGTACGTACTTGAAGAAACATATTCTAGGGTTTCGGGTGCGAATAGGGTTTCTGGTGCGAATAGGGTTTCTGGTGTAACCGACTTGCTGAAGAAGAACGTGGAGTTCATGTGGAACGAGGAAGAGAAGTTTGAAGAGGACAATAGCTGAGTGTGTGCTGCCGGCTGCGCCAAAGGACGTGGGTGAGCTCGTGCTGACAAACCGACGCGAGTGCCAAGTCAACCGATGCAATGCTGCAACAAAAGTGTTCCGATGGCGTTGACGTTAGCCTGGCGCATGAATTCGTCGTATTCACAGATTAAGTTGAAATTCTTTTTCAGAAAAATGATCTGTTCGTGTGAGATCTGTTCGTGCAAGATCGGATCGTGTAAGATCGAACCCGATAGTCATCCAAAAATAGGCTGTAATCCAATTGTTATCGGTCCAATCAAAGATTTGTGGGACACAACGGAACACAGCTGAAGTCACCTTTCATACTTTCCAGAACATCTTTGAGAGCAGAAAATGGGAGTGCAATCGGCATTCTGGGGCCGTACTGGAAGCAGAAATACTCTGCTCTTGACCATTTGCCTTTGAACTCGCAAAGGAGCATTCCTCCGCCAGCCGTCTCGGTACAATTCTCCTCCTTTAGTGAACTCAGACTTGTCAACTTGTAGGAGTTAGGTAGATGAGGGGTACAATCCAGCCAATATTTCGTCACTGCATCCGAAACCGAAGAATATCCGAGTCCGTTTCTAAGCCCATAACATAGCGTTACCAAGCATCCGACACTGCACAATCCCAAACCAAGCAGTTTCAAGTTGGTCCCCCATCCGGCTCCCAAGTTTTCAACGAACCCGTCATCGACTGCCGACCTTCGAATCGCGTCATGCCACTCCTCCGGCACGACCGACAGGCATTCCCGCAACCGGCTCTTGAGCGGCTTCATAGAGGCAATCACCTCCAACTCATCGTCACCCGTATCCTGGAAGACTAAGTCGGCCTTACCTTTGGGGAAAACGTCCATCCAAACCTTAGCGGCTTCCGGCCAGTCCACTGGCTCCTCCATCGACACCTGGGTCGTCTCTGAGCCATTTTTGGTCTCTGAGCCATTTTTGGTCTCTGAGCCATTTTTGGTCTCTGAGCCATTTTTGGTCTCTGAGCCAGCCATTGTCTCATCTACGGTCTCCGAGTCATCTATTGTCTCATCCACATTCTTCTTCACGGTCTTCAAGAATTTCTTGAGCTGGTTATACACTACACGCTGTGTATGGGGCCCGGGCTTGTCGGGGTTATGGAGAACTCTAAACCTGCTCGAGTCCTTACACAAGTCGAACTTTGGCAACCCCTGTTCCATCAAGCTCATCTCAGAGAACTCGCGGTCCAATCCCGTTACCTGAGCATCTAGCCTGCCAAGCTCGGCCTCGGGAGCTAGTACAATAACGGAGGTGAGGTCCTTTCCTTCCACGCCAACAATCGCGATTCGGGCACCCGTGTCCTCACCAAGCTGCGGCCGTCTCCCCTCATCCGTGAGTACAACAGCCAACAGCTCCTGTATCTTGCTCGAATTTACACCCACTACAGTCCTCATCAATTCTCACTTAAAAAAAACTGAAGATCGCACGCACACAGCATCGCATGTTTAGAGCCACCATCATGATGATGATGATGATGATGATGATGATGATGGCTGTCCGGTCAGCCTGCGGAGTGAGGCGAAAGTGGAGTCTATTCCGTAGTGATACAGCGGAACCCATAGTACGACGACGCCGAGCGAAACTATCACCGTCGTCCAAAAGGTACGTGTACCGGCCGCTGGGTGCCGCCAGACCGTGTATTGGGAGTCACTGTCGCTATCGGTGATCCAAGGCACGCAGCCGTCTTGGGTGCTTAGTTGGTCGATATCGACTACCGACCTTTGCATCGCAACCAACCAGTCGGGCGGGTTTTCGATGCTTAGCGGATCGTAGTCGATAGACGACCTATGCACTGCACCCATCCAGTCAATCGGCAGGTCCCGCAGCAACGAGAAGAGCCAGCCCAATGCCGGCTTTATAGACGCGATTATATATAACTTATCGTCACCCGTATCCTGGGGAACCAATTCGCCTTCTGTTCTACCGAACACATCGAGCCAAATGTGGGTCGTCTGCTGACTAAACACGTGTTGAAGTGTCGGCTGCATCAGAACCCTGCAGGACTCCCCATCATCCACAGTCTGCTCCGCAGTCTGCTCCTGGTCCGCTGTCGGCTCCATGGTCTTCAAGAAATCCTTGAGCTGATTGCATACCACAGAATGGGTGTAAGGAGCAGGCGCAACGGGGTTTTTGAACACTCGAAGTCTCATTGAATCTTTGCAAAAGTCGAACCTTCCCGACCCGTCATTCACCAAGCTCACATCGTCAGACGGATCACCATCCCATACCTGAGCATCCAACCTCTCAATGTCGGCCTCAGGAGCTAATACAAGAGCCAGAGTGTAATCTTCTCCTTCTACACCAATCATCACAAATCGCGCACGTGTGTTTTCATCAAGGTCCGGCTGGATCAGCTTCTCCGTTAGCAAAGCCGCTAACAACTCCCCTATCTTGCTCGCATTCACAGCTACGGCAGCCTTCATCAATCCCAAAAATAAGCGCTCGCATTAAAGACTAAAAATAAACTGCCGAACTTTGAAAACATCCTTTCCTGCAATATGTTCCTGCGACTGTCTTTTCTTCAGGACCTTGTTCTGTACAGCCGATAAAATTAGGTTGTTTAAAACCTTGTTAATATTAAATTGACCCCAGCCAGCAAGGTGGTAGCCGCCAACAAGGTGGTAGCCGCCAATAAGGTGGTAGTTGCCAACATAGTTGCCAACATGGCCCAGCAGTTGCCAACAACGAGGCCGAACCAACACTTTGCGGACGGACTTGTTACAGCGCCATGTTACATCCGGAAATAGGGTTTTACCGGTTCGGAAAAGAAACAGTCCATGAGAGGTTCTCGGTCGGGTCACCTTAGTTGGCACGCTGCCACCATGTTGGCTACCGACTCGTGGTCTTGGAGTTTGTGGTTGCAAGGTGCCTGGGGGGACAGTACCGCGGAGACCCTCAGACGTCGGCTTGGGGGTGGCGAAGAGCGGGACATTCTTAACTGGTTTGAAAGAAGTCTTTTCGCGCGAGACCCATGTGTATCCGCTGCTCTGACGCACGGCTCAGTGGAGGAATACGAACAACTTAGTGACCCTCTTTTTTCAGACGTTTTCGAGTGGCTTGCTCAACGGTTCTGGTCCGACGTTGACTCGGGCTCAAAACGGGCGAGTGCAGTAGTCACTCGCTTAAGAGAAGCCTACGAGACGAATCGGTTGCCTCACCCTTGGTCCGAATGTCAGCCTCAATTCTTCCCCCCGTGGCCTCCCAATGCCGGTGTTCGTTTGTCGTCGGCTGCGACTTTGGCCTATTGGGCTCAATACCTCGATACGAGAGATGCTATGTCACCGGAACAAAGATTGCAACGTCTCTCCGTACTTGCGCGCTGGTCACCAGCACAGGCTTTCGTGCACGTGTTTTCGGACCTGAAGAAACATTCACCGCTGTTCACAAAGACACATTACATTCCGGACTTCTCTGACGAAACACTCGACCGAGCAGCAGCTCAGTGGCTCTGTTATGGGAGTGCCGGTGAGAGTGCCATGCGCGATGACATCGTTGAGCCTATGGTTGAAGAATTGTCGCAGTTCCTGCGACCCTTCAACCGGGCTCGCAAAGCACTTGTTCCGGGCCTCAATCAAAGCCCGAAATCTGCAGTGTGCCGCGTCCGCTACAAGACGCGCTGCAGGTTGAACAAGATAGCAAGGAGGCTCTGCAACCAGACGACTATGGCGCAGTGGATCTACACCATGGCAATTAAGGAAACGCGTGACCTATACGCTTATTATGTCAGCACCTATCTCGGGTGCCGACGGCGCATGATAGCCTCGTATTTCTTCACCCGGCGACAGGAACCTTCGGAATCTTCGGGCATAGAATCTTGGGGTCCAATTCAATCTAGGGATCCGGACACCCATTTTCCAGTGGCAGCGGATGTGGGCGTGAAGCGCCTGGAGGACTACCAGATCTATGTGCTCCGGGAATTGGCGTGGACGGAGGAACAACTCATTCAACATTTTACACACTTGCTTGTCGAGCACCACGCAGCGGAAAGCTGTCAGTCGCCAGACGACGTCCTGCGTTCAACGGAGGAATCGACGTTCAAGTTCTCGATCCCAGAAGACGTATTCCGCCAACTGTACGAAAAGGCGGTGAGGGAAACGGCAGACCGGATGGCTAGCGAACAGGGTAGCGATTTCGCTTGGAGGGTTGGTTGTGCCGCAATTACCACCCTATGCGGCCTTAGTAATCCACGCCCCTCCTCGTCTTGAAACAGGAGATACATCGAAACAGAGCGACTTGATTGCAGGCCAATTTTTGGGGTAGCCAACATCGTCTGCATGAATCTGCGCTCACCGGTTGGTTGGTCACAAATCGGTTTATGGTCACAGATCGCGAGTCGGAATTTGGGAGTGGTAGTTCGGAATGGTGCTTGGTGGTGTGGTGGTTCGGAGTGGTGCTTGGTGGTGGTGCTTGGTGGTGGTGGTTCGGAATAAAAAATGGATGAGTTAGTGTATGTAGCTAGAACGGGAGCCGTGACCGCAGCGAGAGCGGATGGGAAGGAGCCGGGTTTAATCTTGACAGAGGGTCGGCCGATCACGAAACACGTTGTGAAGTATGGAGATCACGTCATGATCAGTTGCGGAGCCGACGTGCGGAGATTGGTGCAAGGCGACCCCGATTCAGTAGTTTATCTTGAGCAGGATAACTGCTCAAGGAAGAGCGTGCTCGTCTATTTCAACGAGTCGGCTAGCCTCGGCAGGGCTTACGCGTCATGTTCACTACGTCATGAGGTAGAGTGTTGGAAGGGCAGAAAAGAAGAAACGGAAGAAGCGTGGACCAACTTTATCAGGACTCAATGGTTTGATCCTGAGTCTTACAACACCGAGTTCTTAATTATGCCGGCGGATCTGTATGCGACCCACACACATTCACACACCTTCACAGGTACCGGACACAGGTACTGGGGATATCCTTTTGCTATAGCAATGCTCTGGGCAAGGACGTCGCCTTTCACCAACCGTGCTACTTGATCATGGCACCTAACGTCACCGAAGACCGATACTTTCTCACTGTCAGTGCTGAAGGTGCCGTATGCCTCGTGTGTGGGGGCGATTCGGAGGAGCAACACCTCATGTGGCGCTTCATAAACCACGACTGCATAACCAGCAGGGAACCCCTGACCACGCAGCATAGTGTCTACATCCAGTCCTTGTCCGGCTACATGCTCGCAATCAATGACAGATACACGGTCCACACGCTATTGGATGTTCCCATCGGCCAACCTATTTGCGCCAAATACACTTTCATACTCATCAGAGTATGCAACAACACACCAGTGGAACTGGTTACCCATGTACACCCACGTACACGCCAGGAACACTTTACGAACACACACTTGTACCTCACGGGTATCCTTTGAGTTAGGCGGACGTCCCGACCAACCGCCCGTGGTGGAAAAGTCACTATGCGTCAGATGCCTGCGTTCCATTGCCTAGTAACCAACCTGGCACTCCCATTGGTCACAGTCTCCTCGTCTCCTTCCATTCCCTTCTCTTGTTTGCAATCGATTTGGTCTCTTGTTTCAGTTGAGGCAACCCTGTCGAAGTTGTTCCAATCCAGCACAAACTTCGACCCTTCTTATTATGAGTCGGCTTTCGACGACCACGGCAGATTAAAAGTGAGTGAATCACGACCACCAGAATTCATTACGGCCAGAATTCATTACGGCCAGAATTCATTACGGCCAGAGTTCATTACGGCCAGAGTTCATTACGGCCAGAGTTCATTACGGCCAGAGTCCATCATGGGACTGATGGAAATAGATGTGTTGCAGTTAGGTGTTCAGGAGTTGTTACTAGTAGAAGACGCATTGGAATGTTTGTTGGGTGTCCCGGGTGAGTTTGAGAGATGGACTTGTCATTATCCCGTTGGTGGTGGTGTTCCTTATTTTACTCATGAGTATCGAACTTTGGCTCAGCAAGAGGGTAGTCGCTTGCAGGACTGGTCGTATGAGATGGCGAGCAAGGCAGATGTGACTCCTACGTTCGATTCCACGTTGGATCTGGATAGGTCACTGTGTGGTATGATGGATAAGATAATGCTGATTGTGAATGACCTGAATTCGGTTCGACTGGTTGTAAAGTGGCATAGCGAGGAGCCTGAGAGTGCGACAAATGCATGCTTGGGTAATGCGATGCGACAGATTCTAATTCAATACGAAAGAGGTGTGTGTGAAATCCGATCTTGTAACGAGCATGGTAGCCTTTCTCTACAGAAACTATATGCAATTTTAAACTCAAGTCGACAGGTACTACACTTCCTTAAAACCACAGCAACTCTGACCTATGGGTATACAGGACTAAGCCTCATCGACCAAGTGTTACAAGTACACAAGGAAAGCGGAGCATCAAAACTTGGAGCGGAATTCAGTCAGTACTTATTGCGAGCAGCATGCCAACCGTTGGAACGCTTTGTTAATCTTTGGTTGTTCAGTGGAGAGCTTGAAGACCTGTATTGTGAATTCTTCATTGTAAAAAATCCGCGTTTCGATCTACCGTTAAACCAAACCGTCAGGTCCGTAGATCGAATCCTCGCCGGATCCGTCGATCCAGTCTTGACCCCTCTTTCACAAGATGCAGATCGCAGCAAAGGTGAAGTATTATTCTCAGAGAGATTGGCTAATGATCTTAAATCGCCACCTGATGAACTTACTGAGCTTCAACAATGGTTATGGTGGGACTATGCTTTCGTCCTGGACGGTAGCAAGACCTGCTCTCTTATCCAGCCGTATTTGAAGACCCTTCTTATAATTGGAAAGCTTCGGAACGTACTAAACTTGATGAGGGTGAGGTACTATGGTGCACGCAATGACAGCTGCGCACAAGGGGAGAACTGTGCAGCCGACAAGAACGTTGGAAATATCCCAGAACAACATGGCGGGGATCAACATGGGAGGACACAGCTACAGTTGGTCGCACAACAGGGTAACGATGAGAAAAACCCTGGTGTGCAATCCGGCGGTGCGGAATCGGACTCCGGAGTCGACAAAGGTGTCATCCGCATTGGTGATAGTGAATTCGCTCGCAGGTTAGAGGTACTTCGAAGCTCCATTTGTGACTCGATTATGGCTTACCTGAATCTCGACCCATTGTATCCTTTAAAGAAAGTTTCTCCCTTGGGTGTGTTTAGAAACACTTCATCGATGTATTTCCGAGATGTGATGTTGGAATTGAAGCAGTACTTTTTTATTGAGAGAGCAGACATCTTGGAAGACTTATATACTCTACCGATTCATGACTACTTGTTATCTTCACGACCAGAATGTTTGTGGTCACTGCTACGATTTTGGTCTAAGGCCAAGCTGACCAGCACTTATCGTAGACATGGGTTGCTTTTGGCACTCGTTTTCAGTACAGTGAGTCTGCACTCCATTGCTACCCGCACTCGAGAAAACCATGATAAGCAGGACAGTGATAAGCCCCAGTCGGGGACCGATCGAGATTGGTATCAAGGCTCAGTCAGAGCGTTAAGTACTACAGATTTTTCGCGCATTACTCAAGTACCAATCAACTCGATCGTCGACAGTGTAATCCTTGACTACTTCGCTTGCCACCACTCCTGTGATCGTGGAGAGGAGTCCTCCATCCTGTTACCGGAGATCGGGATTAATCTCCAAAAAGTTACCCTCTATCCCAAGCTGCCTCTGCCTGTTCCTCTATTGGTACTGGACAGACGAGCATTTATCACGCTACAAAGCACCTTCCGTTTGCTGTTCATTCTGCACTATCTCCGGAACCGAATGGAGCAGTTATGGCTCTCCATCAGCCGCGTTGACCACGACGTCAGAGCTCCTTTGCTCATCGTTGCTTCTCACACTCGTGAACTCTTCATGGCCACCATCAAGAACTTAATTGATTACGTCACCAGCGACGTCATTCGACCTCAGAATGATCCCATGACCAACTGTCTAAAACAGGACTACAACGCCATCAGAACCACCTGGAGCGACTCTCTAGCTGCCATAGCACAAGGACTCTTCCTATACGACGTAACCCACCCCACCCCACCCTTCCCCAGAATCCGTAACCCACCCCACCCTTCCCCAGAATCCCTTCCCTAGGACCCCTTCCCCAGGACCCCTTCCCCAAAGCGTGCGTGCTTTTTTGCAGGCGGTTGTTCAGCTGCACTTTGCCGGTCTCTTTAAGCTCGCCCACGACTTTGCTTTCCAGTTGAACACGTTGCTGTAAGAGTTACATCTGAGAACACACATATAGCTGAGAACACACATCTGAGAACACACATATAGCTGAGAACCCACATCTGAGAACACACATATAGCATGTATATTCTACACTCATATGTTGGCACATATGTTGGCTCCACTCATGTGTTGGCTTCTTGCATTCGCGCTTGTGTTGAACTCGCGCTTGTGTTGCACTCATGTTGCACTCGTGCTGGGAGTAGCCGAGCAGGGTAGGGGTCGTACATATTTCTGTTGTCAGGGACTACGGCATGGTTGGATATGAAGAAGACGAGGACGAGAGCCCTCTGTACAGTGCGGAGCATTTGGCGTCAGTGGAGAAGCTGGACCACGACTACCGCTCCGTGGTATCTGCCTTGATCGTGTACCTGAAGAGAGTGAACAATAACGTCAGTCGCATTCTACTCAACCGCCTGAGTATTGATCCCAGATCGGTTAGTCTCGTGGCCCATTAATCTCGTAACTCGAGAGGGCCAATGAGATGAGGCCCAATGAGATGAGGCCCAATGAGATGAGGCCGTCAGGCGTGGCAGATGGGTATCCACTGGTTGAAACGTCCTGGTCGGGTGATTGCTTCGTCAAGGTTGGCGGGATGTGTCCGGCTGATGCCGATGTAGCCGACATGGGCACTGGTGGTCTGTATGCCATCGAGGGAGACGAGTAGGCTGGTAACAAGGTTGCGTTCGAGCATGGAAGAATTGTCTCGTTTAGCGAAGAGCTCTAGATTCTCAAGGAGCACGACCACAGACTCATATCTGCGACCGAGCGTCTCGGCCAGACCGAACGTATTGCGCAAATTCGCTTCCGACTCACCCACGTGACGTCCGAAGACCTCGCTGAGACGCACAATCAGTAACAACCGACGCGGATCGCGGCCAAACGCCTCGTCCAACCAGTTCTTTGGTAAATGCACCCCAGCCTCTGAGGGAAGCTTTGGCTCCAATGAGAACGTCCCTAGTGATGGGGGGGCAAGCGAGAGATGGGGGGGAGTTGCGCTGGCTTCGTAAAGAAGAATCCGAGGACTCTTAAAACCACTACCGCATACCACAAACGGGAAGACTATCGGACACAGGGGTCCCTGAAGGGCGCGGCGGAGTTCCGGGGTCAAATTCGGGGCCAGGCACGCCCGCAAGTCACTGGACTGGCCGTCTGAAGGTGGCTGGTTGCTGCCAGGCCGGTCCAGGGACTGTGGGCCCAGGGACTGTGGGTCCGTCGGGCTGAGGGAAGCCAGACGACGTAGTTCCATGTGTAAATTCCGCCGGTAATCGGGGTGATGGATCGCGGAGTGTCCGTACTCCGCAAGAAGCTCCGCAGCCTGCAGTCTGCAGCTGAAGTTGCTCGCGCCAGACTCGAACGCGAAGGGGGGGAAGCGCGGCAGACTCAAAGTGCGCAGGGCATCAGACATCGCCGACAGCTGGTCTGCAGGCTCCAGATTCTTCAGCGACGCCAAGAACCTAGCGGCCTGCGCGTCCGACAGGGGGCCCTGCGGCGATTCCGCCGACACACCAGGCAGCGTGTTCGGTGAGCATACGAAGCCCGACTTATATAGTTCTACCAGCTCACTCATTTCACTCATCAACAAACAAGCTGTGACTCGCCGGGGAATATGTTTCTCTTGTCGAATACGGGTAAGATCATCTCGACAGAATACGTACACGTCCGTTGCGAAATCTACTATATATGGCTGTATTAATGGCACCACATCAAAGCTGTTGGCAACAACGAAGCGAATGGAACCAAAATCAACATCCGCCAGTTTACTGGCCCAAGCACGACTTTTATTTGTTCGGTTTCCGCCAGCCGGCCGCTCCACCGCTAATATAATGCCCCGCTGTTCAACTTGAGCCTTGATAGAGAAGGGCCACGCTGCGTTTACTTGGTAGAATGTTGTCAAAAATATATCTTCTTGATTTATGCGCGACCACACACGTGTGCTATACTCGAAAACACTAGCATTCAATACAGTAGTCCATATTTCCTTTATTTCGCCGGTGACAGCGTTGCCCTCGACATCCTTTTCTCGTGGGGTATGCTTGACAGTGTTGTTTTCGTGTGGCTTCATAGTTTATGCTTAAAAAATCCTGCGCCGAATATGCAGTGTTACCAGGTAAATTTTTTCCATGCATTTTAAGATATTTCCGGTTATTTGGGTGTCTGGAGAGCAAAGAAAAGACAGCGAGTGTCTAAGCGAGCTCAGGACTGGAGATCGCCAGTGAGTTAGTTCAAGTTCGGAGTCAATCAGCGAGGGTTGTAGCGAGCTAATTTGAAGCGAGCTAGTGTTCGGCCATGGTTGCGGCCTTGTCGTCTGCGATGCGGAACTGTCTTTCTTTGTAATCATCGCCGAAAATGAGTGGATAGCAGGACTGTATCTTTTCTTCGAGGGCAGGGTCGCGGCTACCGGTACCGGTTTTGAATGCGATTGCGCCGGCGATGGCTAGTATATTTTGAACGGAGGTGGAGAGGCCGGATTCTTTGGTGCCTAGGAAGCTGGGAGTAACGGAGCAGAGGAAGGCTACGACTAGGACGATGCCGGCGGCGACAGCTGTGCAGTGTGCGATCTGTTGTCGTGGAGTGAGGTTGAGTAGACTGATGATGTAGGCCGGTAGGACGTCGTCTCGTATATAGGAGACGCCGACGATAACTTCGTCGCATTCCAAATATTTATTTTGATTGATATCAATGAGATTGAAGACGCGCCGCAGTTCTTTGGCGGGCACATTAAGGGACATTGAGTTACGAATGAGAGTGACCCATGTATCTAAGTCAATACCTTCTACATGCAGCAAACAGAGTAATTGTTTTACTGCGCTGGGTGGGAACACGCCAAACTTCGTTAGACGACGTCTGTTACGCTCAACTATGTTTTGGATCTTCAGGACCTCCTTGTCCAGACCGCAGCATAGACGCACCAGGACCGAGACGCCTTCAGCGGGTAGTCCAGTTAACAGACAACGCGCTAAATACTTGCGCAAATCTGTAAAGGAAACAAAATCGTCTACATTCAACTCCACTACTTGGCAAATCTTCACACCGGCTTTATCGGAAACCTCCTCGTCCTCTTCGTCAAACTCCGGCGCGGCCGACGACGACTTGGTTTCTGAACGGACCTGCGCGTCGCACCAATCCAAGTCCAACTTCGTCTTCGGAATCAACTCCCAAATCTGCCGCTGATGCTCCAAAGCCATCTCTAACCCCATGGCGCGCAACACAGACTCAAAGGCAAAAAACGGCAAAGCACCCACAAACCGATGAATGTCCGCCAAAGACGCTCCCACATACTTGGAACCGTTCGCAGAAACTGGCTGAAAAATGATTCGACTCAATGATGTCGCCGCTTGTAACGCTGATAAGGTCGATTGTTCTTCTTTGTTCAACTCAGAACAAATCAAACTCCAGTACACACTCGTATCGCGCCGGTCATGACTGATTCCTAACTGAATTAGAACATTATGTAAAATATCCTGCGTTATGCGCACATTGGCAAACATGTTCGATGAATTCTTATCTCCACTTAAATACTTTTCCAAGGTCTTCACGATCATCGGAAGGTCTTTCCGCGCTGCGAAACCGTGTCTAGAACTCTTCGCCGTAATTTTGTAAAACACTTTGTTCACAAAATGATTCCAAGTGTTCTGCCGATCCAACATGCTCCAGTCTAGTGCAGTGGACAGAGAGCTGTCATCGCCCAGACCCAGGGACCTCAGAAACGCCTTTGCTCCATTCAGGTGCAAATTGGACTTGGTTAGCTGCCGCACAAACTCATCAGCAAGATCGCGTTGAATAAACCCGGTACCGTCGCTCAACTTGAAGATTACGTCCTTAATTTTATCCAGATTGTTGTAGTAACAGGTAATGACACTTTTTTCGTCTATCAATTCGATATGGTCTTGTTTGTAATATGCATCAATGCTTTCCGGGTTCGGTAGTTCGTCCTTTTCTATACCCAAGTCCGTCAATTCTTCCTCGGTTAAATCAGCAAACGGCGATTGATGTATGAACCGCAGCTGGTCACGATAAAATGGGTCATTGGACGGCCCATAATAAGCAAGGTACTGGATCAGGTGGAATGCTTCGGGATCATTAATTATGTCAGCACGCTTCGGTATTTTCTTCCTTACAGCATAGTAACCGCCAGGCGCACCTTTATTGTTCCCCGCCGGTAAGTCTCTTGGGTCATACGGCAGGGTTACAGTGCAAATATCTATACCAAGCAAATTGAGTAAAAATATCGCAGTAGGCAAAGTAAAATAATCATGAATAATTAATCTGTATAGAGCGTCAGAATCGATAAGCAAATTCCGAATTGACGCCTCAAGAGAGTCTCCAGGCAGCTTCTGAATTTTAAGAGAATCGCAAATCTTGGATTTGTTCAACTTACCAAACAGATCCAGCAGATTCTTGTTCAACGGCAAACACAACCTGGCCGGTAGCATTTCAGGCATCAAAGGATTTTTTACCACGTAGTATTCCACGTCAATAAGGAATCCAATATCGACTAACAATTGTGTGACGGGTGCGAAGTAGTAATCTTTGACTAAAGCTGCTGTCAAGGTACATCTCTCCGCAAACTCACTATCCCCGTAGCGACGCTGTCCCACTTTGTAGGCTACGCTACTGGTTCTACAGGGCAAGCATTTAGACACAAAGCCGTGAAACGAACTCAACAATCGTTCTGGATCAATTTCCATGCCGTAGGACAAAATTATTGCTATTTTCCGACCAATTTCGGTGTAATAATCCATATCATACCATGCCTCTATCTTCTCTAGTTCATGCTGGAACAGCTTTTCATGCTCTACGACAGTGGCCTGAGCGATTTTGATGAACGTGTCCTCATATGCCAAAGATAACACGCGTGTCCAATGGTATGTTTCCTCTGGACTATAGTCCGGTTTGACGCTGGGGTTGTGGCAAGTAATCAAGGTCGTCATGCCGAGCGTGGGGCCTAGCAAAGACAGTTGTGTGAGGAAAATATTTTTAGCAACGGTATTCTCCTCGGTTATATCCTTGAGCAAGATCTCCGTCTGGTTCCTGGTTACTGAAGTGTATATTTCCCTCCACAAATTCAGGTGGTCATCCGCTACACGGCCTCGTCCGTCGTGACGTCCGCCGGCGCGATCGTCAGTACGACTGTCGGCGACGTCCTCGGAAAGGAGCATGAGCTCGTCAATACCGCACATTGATAAGCCCGACAGGTCTTTGCCGGAGAAGTCTTGCAGCGAAATTTGGGAGACGGGGTCAATGTTAACTAGTTGGTTGTAATCAGCATTGAGCATTTTTTCGCCGCCTACTTCAACGTAGAAAGACAGAATGTCTTGTTCACCGAAGCCGTCCATGGGGTTACCGTTGAGGCGGTATTGCATGTTGATTCGGTGGACAAGGTCGCTCCAGTCTGGGACGTCAGTGACCAAGGGTTTGCGGGTGACCAGAGCCCAGAGATGGAACTCGAGTTCGTTAAGTCGCCCGTCGCGGTCTTTATCGAAGACTTGGAAGACGACATCGACCTTAAACTCGAACGGGACCAGACTGGATCGGGGGAACTGTGGGACGGCAACGATGGCTGCGCTGTAGTGGCTGTCGGGAATCGGCGGCGTTTCGCGTTTAAATCCAAGTCGCGGACCAAAAACGACTGCGTCAGCGAGCATGACGGCTTCGCCGCCGGCGAGCATGGCTTCGAAAAGCGGCTTATTCGCGTCATATTCATTGCAGTCTGCGAATCGGCAGCCGAACGTTAAGTTAGGCTCTTCAGCGATGCCGCAGGCTTTGCCTACGTCGTTGAAGTAGAAGCCGACCGAGGTAGACGGTACCGTCTTGCTGTACTTCCACTTGACGACTGATTGCCACTGCAGCGTTGTGGCCATGCCCGCTTCGCAGGCACCGTTGCCCAAGCTAGCCGCGTATTGTCTCGACATTTGCAACGCAATTTGTACCTTACCCCCCGCGCTCGCCCCGACCCCGCCACTGGCTTGACTGAAGTACGCGTCGAACATCATTGCCTGCACCGCATCGTGTTTGTTTCGTAGCATGGTGTGAACGTACGCACGCGCGTGTGCATACCGACTGTAAATCACATGTAACGTACCCAGGGACACCGCCACCAACATCGCCGGTGGCAGCCAGGTGTCCGGGTTCAATAAGACCGCCACAATGAACCAGCAGACAGCGTACGGAATAATCGAGTGAATCAGCAACATGTACCCGGCAAACATTGCAAGGTGGTATCTCGCTATTGGAAAGATCCAAGACTTACCCTGGTTCGCTAAACTGCGGAACAATAACCTCAATATTGAGTGAATAAATACCGCAATCAACATAAAGAAAGGAAACGCATGTCGGAAGCTAGCATGAAATATAAGCGATTTCTTGGACACTGCATGAGAACGTAAAAACGCCAAGTCAGACAAATACTGGGAGTCCGTATCCAAATGCGGGTAAGTTAACAATTCCGTATACAGGATATTGTATACAACCGACACCCCAACCAATTGAACACCTACGAACTGAAATACTACCAAAGACACAATGTTAATAACCGACCCCCAAACCATCGGCCATATGCGGAATAGTATGTACCTTTGCACACGTAGATTGATGGGTTGTTGCAGTGGCATTTTCTTTCTTGCGGTTGTAGATTTTAAGGTAGTAGGTTTTACCGTCATCTGACCCGCAGTCGTATTTTCACGACCCACCTTCGCACGACCTTTTGTTTCACCTTTTGTTTCGTTACGACCGGCCCGTTTTGCTAGTCGTTTCTTATTACGGTAGTAATCAGAAATGCGATGCAGGGTCGACGACATCAAGTTGATGCATTTCGGCATTCCTTTATCTAACAACGAACTAAGGGTGCCAAGGCCTGGGAGGGAGTTGACAGAGAGGTAGTAGACATCTTCGCTCTCCACCCACCAGTATACGTCTGGGTTCAGTTTGATGCCGCATACAATTTGCACTCTTTTCGCTTCCGCTTTGAAGATTTGGTACTTGATCCCACCACCCTGGTCCTGATCTTCGTCAGTCAACACTAATTTAGTAGACCCCGTTATGATAACCTGACCAGGTGTGATGATGTACGAGTTCGTATGGATTCCCAGACAATCTGGGTCATCCCAGGGGCCGGGGTTAGCGGGGACAGCTGGTATACGATCCGCGGACACGCGATTGTCTTGCGCGCTCGCACGTTTGTATGTCCGCCGGTCCGCGTCTGCGTCTATTTCGAAAGGCAGTGGACGACGAAGACCGGTGCAAACGCGTAGGTTGCAGGTTAATGTTTCAATGGCCTCATTGTTTATTTGCGATCGCGTCAGGTTCTCGGAAATGGGCAGGTTATGTATGCGGCAGAAGGAGGCATAAGAATACTCCAGTTCTGACAGTAACATGGGTCGTATTATATGGAACAAGTTCGATTGGAAGTACTTTTCTTCCGTTGTCGGAGTAAAGTTGGTCGACAACGTAATCACGAGTTTGCACACACTACTGGGGGTCGTTATCTCGATTTCCGGCACCCAATGGTACCGGCCGAGGTTGCTGACGTTGTTGGCAACCCTCCGCACCGCCTTGAAGTAAAAATCCGCAGGCAATTCGAACGCTTTTATGCGGGACAACTCGTCCGCGGTCAAAGAATCGCCCACATACCGTCCGCCAAAGTATCCGTACGCTTCCGTGCCCGGAACCTCCGACGCACCTAGCGGCGACAAAAAGCAAACATAAACGTTGAACCGACTCCAGGGCACATTCCCCGCGTTCCAGTGCAACTCGTAATCTTGACCTTCGCATAGAATCATGCCCGGAAACACGTTTGTAAATCCTTCAGCGTTTTCGGCCGCCCCGACACCGTTAGTCTGGCCGGTTTTTTCGGATGTATGTTTGGCTTGTTGTTGCAACTTCGCTCCCAGCGGCAGAACCGGTCTAAACGGCGTTCGGTACAAACGAAAGGGACGGGGATCCACGTGGAACCGAACAGAGCCCCATTGAGTGCCTTTGTTCGTCAGCAGGGACACCGAGCCCTCAGCTAGGTCCCGACCTTCGAGAAACAACCGAGTCTGTCCGTTGGCTAGACACACGTGCGAGTCTATGTCGATCAACTCGAAACCAATTGTTTTCTGGATCATGCTCGTGTAGTAAAGCCGCATCTCGCCTTCAATCTGTAGCACCACGCCCGTAGGGGCCAAGGCTGCCGACGTCGGGGTCAAGGCTGCTGTGGTTGGGGTTAGGGTGGCCGTCGGAGCTAAGTCGTGTTCGGCGACGCCGCTTTTGTGGAACGCAAATTCTAGAAAGGAAACGGGGTCGACAGCGCTCACAAACGTCTTTCTGTCTTGGTCACCAGGGCTGCCCCTTTTGGCCCGTCTGTCTCTGCCGGTAACGCGGTCTCTGCCCGCCCGGTCCCCCTTCTTGCTGAACGAGTTATGTTTTACGATTCTGGAAATCGACTGAGCTCGATCCTCGACCCAAAAGATGTGCAGCCGTGTGGCAGTCGAGATGGTAGAGCTGGTAGAGGGCTTAATACGGATGGCCTGGATATTAACACAGAGCGGCTCGATTTGATGCACGTCGACACACTTCTTCCAGAATAATTTCCAACTAGAGACGGTTGTGGGAAAGAGTGAGCGGATCATATAGGGCTCCAAGTCATCAGGAAGCATTGTTCTCGGGATGGTGAATTCAGCACTCCAAGAACTTTCGTCCACGCATCGAGATGCAGCGTCCAATGCCCGGATTTTAAAGCGGTACGTCAGTCGCGAGTTAAATGCCCACCTCTGCCTTGTGTCAATGTTGTAGGAAGCGGCGTGCCTTTTCGGAGGGAACTCCACTGGTAGCTCCACTGACTGCATGTTCTCGCTCTTCTTCAACGCGCTACTTGTGATGTACACGTACGCCGTCGCCGACTGCGCGTCTCCCTTCCCCTGACCACGGAGACCACCACCCGTGCGTGTGTGCACGGGTTCGCAAATCACCACGAAACGAGAGAAACTCTCCGCATGGGAATCGGTACGATGTGCCCAGAAGAGCACCACGGCGGGGTTCGGCCGGTGCACTGGGTACGCATTGATCACCCACTGCAGATGGCGAGTGATGGCACTTTCCCACTCCAGGCGGTAGGATTGTGCCTTCTCAAAATATTCTTTTTCCAGCAGGTACTTGTAAATTTGGCTCGAAACGCCTTCGAAAATTCGCCGAAATATTATCAACATAAAAGCGAGGGCAAGCAGCCCACTCATGAAGGACGAAACCGTGTAGGTAAGGTGGTCTTTGAATCCGGTTTGGCTCATCCTAATGCTGCCCGCGGATGTGCTGAAACGCAAACGCGTTTCGAAGGGAATTCGGCTGTGCCAAATAATCATCGCAGACAGGCTCCGTACCTTGTCCACACTTTCAAGTGCGCGATGCACCGCCAGAAACTCCGCCATCTGCAGCTCCCGCGCACAATGCCGCGGCGGCTCCACTTCGTCCAGAAAGCGACCCCACCTTTCCAAGTCGTCAGTCGACGACCAACTCCAGCGAGAGACAACACTCTTCGCAGAGAATTCTGCACCCGTCTCCTCATCGGTTTTTCCACTTCGAGGCCGCGACGCAATCTCCATCTCCTCGTCCGCTGTTCCATCCCCGTCGCCGTCGAACGACACCGCAAAGTCTTTACCCAAATTGCGCGCTGCTGCGCACGTCAAACCCGTCACGTGCACCGGAACCGAGAGGTACCGTGCCTTCAGCATTCCCAACGACGCTACCGTGTGCACAAACCGGTTCTTCAATAACGCTGATGAACTCAAATATTCCCACGACCCACTCGGCGCCACGTGTTCCGCGTCAAACACCAACTCGTTCAGCGACGGAATTACTACGCGCCACGGCTGCTGCGGGTCCCCCTCCCACCAACCACGCAGACTCTTCAACTTGTGCTCCGAATATGCCGTCAGCCGAATCGCCTTCGCCTGTTCGCGACCCACCCAAGACCGATACGTGCCTTCCGACGGGGCTATCCTGTCCTGGACAGCCGCCCCGTCCTTGACAGCTGTCCCGTCCATGACAGCTGTCCGGTCCATGGTAAGGTAGAATGGGGCCTCGCCCTTGGTTGCCAAAGTCACTAGCGATGGCAGCGCGTCTGACAGAGGTACGTCCAGCGAGATGGAGACGTCATGAAGACCCGGATCAAAAGTGTTTTCCGGGTCTGCGCCCCCGTACGTGATGGACATGGCGCCAGTTGTGTAGACAATTGCGCGCTCCAGCACGTTCTCGGACGTGGAAACCTCAAACGGCACACCCGAGCGGACATATACCGGCGCTACGGTGGACTCGATGCGACCCACAGTGCCCTCCCAGCCCTGCACCATGACCAGGCCGTCATAGACGCCTATGCTCAGGTCGCGGATTTGCGAGTGACGTACAAACACCTCGGAGTGGGTCGAACGCAGGTCCAACGCGTCAACGACCACGCCCTCGACCACAATCGAAACGAATGAGCGCGAGGCCCGTTCCTTGATCACCAACTTGTTTAGACCATAGCGATGACCGCTTTTCTGTCCTGACGCAGTGGCTCCGAGCGCTGTGACTCCGAGCGCAGTGGCTCCGAGGGTGTCGGATGTGGAATTGTCCCAAAGCGGATTAGCTGAGGATGCGGGTGCGACGGGCGGCATGTAGATGTTGATAGAGCATTGCCAGAAACGGCTGACGGCTTTGGCCTTGACTACGACTGAGATTTCATGCCCGTCTCGGCTTTTGGTGATTTGCGGTTCATTTTCGAGGAGGAATGACCAGGATTTAAGTTCGAGAAAAGGCACCTCGGCACGTTCCAGGGGGTGGACATGGACGTTGCATCCCTGTATCTCCAGGTGCACGCTGGGGTCCACGATGTGCCCGTTGTAGTTTGTTATTGGTTCAGAATCCGCGAGCCGGTGGTTCGAGTCCAAGTGATGCCCGGGCGCGAGATAGTGGGTTTCGCGGCGGACTTGGGAGGCGGCGAACCGCAGGAGTGCGTAGGAGACGGAGAGGGTGAGGATAGTCCAGGAGACGAGGGTGGTCCATGGCACGCGGTGGACGAGACGGGTAGTTGCAACGCCGTCGCAACGTCGCACATTCGTGACGACTTTGAAGCTGCCACCGACAGCTTCTGTGTGGTCTTTGAGGAACTGACCTTCGCGCAGAGCCTGCTGGCCGATGACCTGTTTGCTCGGTTTCTGAGTTTGGATCTTGTGGGTAAGCAAGAGCGTAAGTTCGGTGTTCTCTTCTTTGGGAGGTGGGGCGTGTTCGGCCGAGGCTGCCTCCGAGTCTGACTCGAACGAGCTGAACGAGTGCAGCTCGACGTCTGTGGCGTCTTTCGGCAGCAGCGCACTTGTGCGTACCATACGTCGATGGTACATCCTTCGTTCGGGTGCCGCCCGACTGGGTCCGAACAACTGGTCCCGCTTTATTTCCGATGCCGACCGAGATACCGGAGCAACCACGTCCGTTGCACGCACAACCGTGTCCGGCAGCAGTGCCTCCAACTGCGAGTCCAACGGCCGCGAATTCGACAAGACGTGTACCTCTTTCCCGCGTGAAGACGTTTCGCGCGAATGCCCTTCCGCTTTCGTCAACCCCACACGATGCCTCTAACCAAACACTCTGTTCCACCTGCCGTACCTACCGCATTCGAACCGTTCGGCACCGGCTTCTTCCGCCGCTTGTTGTCCTGACCCACTTGATAAAACATGCCAAAAAAAATACCCCAAAAAAAGCACAAACTTTTCAAGCGTAAGTCAATGAACCGCTTTTGGCTCTCACCACGACCGCCGCACACCACATTTGCTGGCCGCTGGTACTCACGTAAACATCTTCAGCAAAGTTCCGTTCGTTGATTCGAGTTTAAACGTTGATTCGAGAAGAGTTAGCTCCACAGGTAGTCAGAAGAGTTAGTCAGAATTAGTTCATGAAGAGTTTAGTCGCAAATTCCACCTCCGTGCCAGTAGTTACGTGTCTTGTGTCGTCGGTCGGCAGCCCGGAAGCCGACGACCTGGACGCGTTCGATTTGGGCGACGGCTTCGGGTTGAGTGGTAGTCTGTTGGACTTGTCGGATGAGAAGAGGTGGCTGGACCCGGCGGTGTTGGAGGATTATACTAACATGAGTCTCGCCGACTCGAGCGTGAGCCTCGGCTTCAGCCGCCTCGACGTGAGCACCGGCGCGAGCACGAGCGACCTGTCCGTGGCGGGGACTTTTATCGACACCGAGGCGGAATTAAATGCCTACGACTCGGACGTGATGCCGTCCCTCGGCCCTGAGGCGAGTGTACGTTCCTTGATCGCGCGCACCGCGGACGCGCGCGTTGCCCGTGCGCACCCTGTGCGGGCACTTATTACGGACGCACCCACCGTGCGCAGGCGAGTGCGCACAGTGCAGCGACCGCAACGGCCGATGTCACTGGACCTGAGAGATGTCCGTCATCGCGATTTCTCCGCCTTCTCCTTCGTACCCAGAGTCTCTGCCAGACGCGCCCGCCTGCCCGCTCGGGAGGGTGACCCCGTCCTGGTCCGCATCAAGGCCCTAGAACTGCCCAAGCCCCAGAAACCTCGTCTAATCTACATCTTCCCTCGCGACAACACCCCTAAAGATACTAAGACCCTGGAGAACAAGGCCACCGACGCCACGACTCCCGACAGCAGCGCTAATGACTGCATCGCTGCGGGGGATCCGGCCCCGGAGAGGTTGGTCGAGACCGATTCACCTTTGAGAGTTCGTTGCAGCGACGGTATGAGGAGCATAGGGACCGAGAGCCTGGTTTCCGAATTGAGTTGTTCGTCGGACGGAGAGGACCTGCACCGCGAGTTGTTAGACTGGATCAAGACCGTCGGGTTGGAAACCGTCCGTTCGACATCGGCTGGATTCGGGCCCGGGCTGGTATGCGCAAAAGGGGCTGAGAGCGAGCCAGAGGGGGTCGACCTGGACGAGGTGTCCGTACTGGGGGACGTGTGGGAGGCCATGCTTCATGATCGCAAGCTTCTGATGCAATTCGAGCAGGTTCAAACAGTAGCAGACTTATTCAAATGGTGTCAGGCTGCCGGAAAGACGCCCGGCGTGTTGCGCTCCCAGGTCCTTCTTCTCGCCAACTTCCTCGCTCGCTCTCGACCGGCACCCATCAAGGAACTTATCGAGAAAAACGCTTATGCCGCGGTCTTCGCAAACCACCAACCTGGAGCAGCATAGCGGCCGTGTAGACGGAGACTGTCATCAATGATTTTTTCTACCTATCAACCCGTCCTTCGATGGTACCCGAACACCGCCCGTAGTACGCTCGAGGACCAACAACCCCCTCTACCCACTGCCGGAACCGACTCCCCACTGCCGTCCAACACGGAACGTAGGCCCCCACCAAGGGCTTGGTTGGATCAACGGCCCTGGCCTGCCCGACCGTCGGCACGGCACTGACCTGGCCACCGGCCCTGACTTGGCCACCGGCCCTGACTAAGGTTCTACCATAAGGCCCTTAGGAGTAGTTTGACAGGCAGCCCAGACGGATAGTCTAGTTGAAAGACTTTCAGAGTGACTGCGTGAAAGTGCGAGACGCGCTCCTCTCAAGGCCGGCGTGTTGCCACCCGCACGGGACGGCCCGCTCACTTCCCGGCAGCAGAGGTGCCATTCCGGAGTCCGTTACCCGAAAAAGGTTGCGGGACGAGCTTCGCCCGTCCCTAGCGTAACAAGGAGGGGACAAAAAAAGTACGCTCTCGGTAACAACACTGATAACAACACTGACAAGAACACTAGCCATAACGGGAAGACTTCGTCGGACCTCCTATGGTTGTTAACATCCTGGGTAACACCCTAGCAGCTTGGGGTGACACTCGAGCAGCTTAAGACCCTCCCACTTTCTAGTCCCCCTACCGATCCCGCGCACGTGTTTCTGCTTTAGGAATGCGCAATTTGGTCGGAGGAGTTGGCTGCAGTCGGACAGCGGCTTACCTGGCGGTGCTGGGTGCGCCGTTACCGGAAGACACGCTTCCGTTGGACATGATGCCGGATGACTTGGCCGCAGACCCGGGGCCAGATGACGTGCTATTCGATCCCGCCCGTTTCGCTGAGGCCATGCGGGAGGTTGCCGAGGCGATCGACGCCGAGTTAGTGCGAGCGGAGGAGGAGGTCGCGGCGATCGCAGGCCTCCTGGACTTCATCCAAATCGTTGACGATCTCCTCGGCAATGCCGAACTCCTCGATGACTCTGCCTACGGCTCCAACATCGACCTAGATGCCGAAGAGGAACTGCGGTACCGCCTCGCCGACCTCGCCCAGGACCTGGAACCCGAAGACGACCAGGACGACCAATTCGCCCAGGACGACCAATTCGCCCAGGACGACCAATTCGCCCAGGACGACCGATTCGCCCAGGACGACCGATTCGCCCAGGACGACCAATTCGCCCAGGACGACCAACTCGCCCAGGACGACCAACTCGCCCAGGACGAGGAATTAAGTTCGCCCGAGCACGAGGAGGCGGCCCAGGAAAAGGCTGATAGCGGGTCCGCAATCGGCGACTTCCTGGCTCAACTGTGCCGCAGCCTGGAATCGGGCACAACAACAGAGTATGCGCCCGCAGAGGATGATGCCTGGAGTGAATGAGTCAGTGGTACCGATCCCCACCGGTACCGATCCCTCTCGATATCTGTATCTTGTTTGACTGTCATTTAATTTGTTCATCTCAACCCAAAGAAATCTCCCTCCTTCTTACGAGGCCTCTCGCGCTGGCGGAGAGCCCAACAAACCCACGCGGAGTTCTTTGCCAGTGGCGGGAAGAATTACGGAACAGAAAAACACGGGGGGCCAAAAAAAAGTCGCGATGAGAAGTCCAATTGGTGACGCTCAAAACGCAGATTTCTCCTCTCCCTTAATGGCGGTTGCGCCGCACGAATATCCACTCCCTCCCATGGCGGATGCTGAGCTTGGGCTTTTGCTTGAAGTTGTGCCTGTCGAGTGGGCGCGGATGCTGGGGGCCAGAACAGAGTCGATTTCCGCCCTAATGACCCATTGATGCAGCTCGCTGGGAGTTGATTCGGGCCAGCAACCCTGGGCCTGTCAGCGGCCGCGATTCGCTTTCTTGCGGAACTTGGGCTATCCAGGTGCCGCTGCCTATCAAGGATGTACCCGGGACCGTGGGTGGACGAGATGGCGGGAGCTAACGGTACGCTGGGGAAATGCTGGTGGGTGAACCTAGCAACGCTCATCTCACCGAGCACGAGCCGATGTTCGAGGGAGTGAATTCCGGACTCGATTCGTCAATTCGGGGTTCCGTGGACATCGCCGGGTGCTTAGATGCCAGCGCCGATTGGGTCCAAGAGGACTGGTACACAACGCACGCCGTTTGCGGCGTTCCACATTCTTGCCGCCCAAAACCTCGGGGCCCGTGGCCTTTCCAGGGATAGTAAATACCACCTTCTTTGCCAAAAGGGGCCTGTCTATCTTGCGAACAGCAGCGACACAAAAGGAACCAATGTAGCCGAGCGACGTAGCACCTGTACCGAGTGTGGCTGAACAGGCCGCAGCCTGCAAGAAGATTGTCTTGCGTGCCGGCATTCCGGCCCCGAATCGAACAGAAGCGAAAGGGACTCAGCATCACGCAGGGTGCCTTCGCTAAAAGCAACGCGGTTCAGGGTGCATTCGACATTCTGGGGACCGAACTTCGCCCCAAGACCTCCGCTCCCGACGCGACCACAGATGCTCCTATGGCACTATCCGTTGAGATAAGTGGCGGGGACACGGAAGTTCGTTTGCTCCTGCCCGGATCCCGGACCAGCTTCGTTTTGGTCTTACTAAGGAACGCATAGCCACTCCCAATTGCGGCACCAAAAAGCCTCTCTGCTTCCTCGCCAGGACCCAGACTTTGGTGGCAGCACTACCTTCCGGGGTGGATGGCGATCAACGAGGATAATGCCAAACCTTCCGCAGCGGAACTAACACACTGGAGAAGTCTGATTAAGGATGGTTTCATAAGCTCACCGGTGCAATATTTGTACTACCAGAATGTAGACCTGCAGCTCTCAATCTACTGCATGGGGCACCACATACAAACCGTTACCCTTCTAGGACTCTGAATTGTTTGGTACTGGGAGAAGTGGTCAACATGGACCCTGTAGTCATGCACAAGGACGGGTCCAAATGCAGTTGAATCTTGGTCATTATCGACCATGCCACATGATAGTGGCATTTTCACAACGGATGCGGTGGTACATTTGTTTGTGACGAGATGGGCACCAGGCAATTGTGATAACGGACAATCACCCATTTACAGCCCTCACGGCCCTGGAACAGTAGCGTCATGCCCTCACCACTAGGCTGCTCCCCTCTATGTGCAGTGATTTGAGCGGCATGCTTCCTGGAATGGCTCCTACCCGAGAACGTCCGCCATGCAAATCAGTACTTGAATTTGCAGGTACGACTGTCACGGGCCGCATTGCAGGCCTTAAGCAACGCGGCGAAACCCGCACTTGCCCGGAGAACTCATATGGTTCCCCCTGAGCGATCTAGAAGCGCGGGCTTTCGAACACGAAATCAAGTTGGCAACACTCAGACCCCGAAATGCAGCTCCACATCGGGTAATCAGCCTCGCGCACGCTACCGTCACCTTGATGGTATCCCGGACCCCAGATTGACAAGCTATTCAGTGTCTTGCTCATGTTCGCTGAGTCTGTGGATGAACAAAAACCTGTGGGAACTTCTCTACAGATAGGACCATCGCCGCCGATCACACAAGTTAGCTCCGGCGACTCAACATTCCGGGGAAGAGGCAATGTCCGTAAACCGGTGGATGTGTGTCAAGAAATACCGGCTCGCAGACGAGATGCCGGTGTCAAGTCAACGCGTACAAAAAGGTTTGGTTGACACACACAAAAGAAGTCGCGCATTCCTCTAATGCTGCCTTCCATTCAGCACTCACTACAGTACGGCATCTCGTCTGCGAGCCGGTATTTCTTGACACACATCCACCGACACTTCGAACAACCTCTCACGAAACCACTCACAGCTGCCAAGCCGTTCCACGCTGGCCGTCTATCCCTCACACGCAACCCTGCACCGATCACTCGTTACGGAAACACTCTTCTCTACATTTACGGGCGGATAGGTCCAACTACCTTTGAGCCGCGGAAAGCTACGAACTTCCCGCCGCCAATGGCCGGTGGTGTGCTGAATCGGTAGAGCAAGTGCACAACGACCAATATAAACAAGAGAAAGAAAGGTTTAAGACGATGTCAGTGGTTCGGGGGCGTGACGCCCAGGGTCGAAGACTAAAGAGAGAGAGGGGTCCGGAGAATAGTACAGTGGGAGTTGGTCGGAAGGTCAGATGGGCTCTTGCTAGTAGCATAGGGATGTGGTCCAAAAGGAGAGCGAGTAGACTGTAGAGAGAGACGGAGACGACAATACTGTAATTTCCGCTAAAGCTCGGAGCGCAACGCATCGGCGCACCAGGGGACCAAAATGCCAAGAAGAGATAACAACAGTCACTCCAAAATATGGCCTGAGAATTGCGATGAAAAGCCGTGCCCAAGTATGTTTCTTGGCGAGTCCCAGACGGCGAAGATAACGCCTGGGGGATAGGGCCCTGAGCCGAAGATAACGCTTGCGGGGAAGGGCCGTGAGCCGAAGGTCGTGGATTCAAGGCGCACGGTCGCGGTTTACGTCATAGAACTAACTGCTCCGGACTAGATACCCGTAGAGAACACACCTGCATGGGTCGCCTTCGCTGGAGACCAGAGCGCTGCGAAGGTGGCACATTGCTTCGTAGGTGGCTGCTTCCTCCCTTAGGAGAGAGATGGTCTTTGCGTGGCTAAAAAATAACGGCGTGAGACTTAATGCGTGGCTAAAAAAGTCACGGCGTGAGAATTAATTAATGCGAAGTCTACCCTGCGGCGTTCCGTGCTTTTCCGCGAGTCTCTGCCTTGCGACCCCTCTATTTCCATTGGGGTTGTCGCGCGTGGCGGATGCCGACGTGGCGGAACCGGCGCGGTCTCGTGGGCCGGCGTCCCGAGAGTGGCGTGAGGCAGCCTTGGACGGCGAGGCATCGTTCCGGCAGTTTGAGGCAGCAGCCCTGGACGACGAGGACGCACGCGCCGCGCGGTTCCGACAGCTGCGAATAGCCAACGTGGCGGATGCCAACGCGGCGGATGCTAATGTGGCGGATGCCAACGTGGTTGATGCCGACGTGGCAGAGCCAGTCCAGCCCCGGTACCGGTTCCGGTTCCCGTCGTTTGGTGCCAACGTGGTTGGTGGCAACGTGGTTGATGCCGACGTGGCAGAGCCAGCCCGGCCCCGGTACCGGTTCCGGTTCCCGCAGTGGCGCGTGGCCGAGCTGGATGACGAAGAGGCGGCGCGCTTCCGGATGCTGGAGCGAGCCACTGCGGCGGTCATACCGGGTGGACGGCCCGAGTTCTTAGCGGAAGTCACGAACCGCGTGCGAATTGAACCGGGTCGTGTACACGGGTTCTTCGATCGGCGTCACTTCGACCTTTTGACCGGCCTGGCTGAGCACGCCGTGAACCAGGCAGGGCTGCTGGGCGAGCTACCCGCCGTCGGTCGGCTATCAGTTCCTGACCAGTTCGCACTAGCCCGACGTGCCTTCCAGATCATCATGGGCCCCAGCCGGGCCGACTCGGCGTACGGCTCCTGTCCCAGCATCCAAGACCTTGACCTAGAAGGCGCTGACCAAGAAGGATTCGAAGATGAAGGTTTCGATGATGCCATCGACCCGGCCGACCGCCACTACCCGGCCGACCGCCACTAAAGACGCGAGGGCGTGGGTTCGAACCCGCGGTTTTTTTCACATAACCATCCTGACTGACAAAGCACCAGAATGCTGCGAGACGCGCCCTGGAGCACGATGTTGCAGCACGGCAGCCAGCATCGGCAGGAAATTTGGATAGAGTGGCGGCAGTTCAAGAGGAGAAAAAGACGGCCCACTCCGCATTTGACGTCGACGTCAACTGCGCCTTCGGCGCTCTCGATGTCGTCACTCGGGCTGCTTGCTGGCATGCGGCCGGCGGCACACCTCTTAGAGACAACACTCACAAACTCTTGGGCGCGCCATCCCGTCGGGAACTCGCTACGCGGCAGCAAGCGGTAGAGTTGACTCCACTCACTGCATCGCAGCCGGGTCTAACCCCGCCTCATCTCCCAGGGAAGCACCCGCCGGGGGGGCTTTCACGCCACTCTGGACTTTAACCACTTCCCTCCAACGGCGCGCGGGGGCTCCTCGACGTCTCAACAGAAATTGCCTCGACAGTTTACCGTAGCGGGTCAAGCTCTCCCTGGCACGGTGCAGGAACACCGGTTTCTACTTGCGCTTGGACAAGAGCGAATGGTTCAGGTATGAAGTGAAATACCTCGGACACGTCGTCGGCCAGACCGGCATAACGGTCCGGGAGAAGAAGTCTCGAGCTCAAGAAAGCTTTGTCGACAGGGTGAAGTGTCACAGTGCGTCTCCGAGGATTTGGATTATACCCGGCTGGCCGGTACCGACAATGGATCTAAAAAGAGAGGGATTCTTAAGGGAAAATCACTGACACTATGAGCCACAAAGGAACGTCCGACTCCAACCTCGCAGGTAGCTCGACCCGTATCCTGACAGACCAAAGCCCCGATACCGAGCCCACTCCACGCAGTCGGGCGGGAAAAAATCTTTGCTGCGAAGTGTGGTTGGCGGCTCTCGATCTGTTTCGGCAGATCTCTGGTTGGCAGTGTTGCCAAGTTGGCAGGAGGAGTTGGGGCTTTCGGACGATGCGGGCGCCGCCCTTGACCGAGCCTTGGATGTCATTGAGAGAGCCTTGGATGACGCCGTGGCTGAGGGGTTACGGGGGCTTCCCGGCGGATGGCTCCAGGATGCACAGGTCAGGGAGGAAGCTGAGCTGGTGGAGCGAATCGTGGAGGGCGGCTTAGGCGTGATGCGGGAGTTCCTCAACGCGAACCACCTCGGCTTGAACCACCTCGACACCTGGAGGGACAACCTCGCGCACCACGCACGACGGGTGGTCGCAGGAATGGACGATCGCCCTGACTCGGGTTACGGCTCCGACTCCGACATGGCCGTCCACGAATAATAGCGCCTCGTGAACCTCACGCCTCAATTAACGATCCGAAGGGTCGTGAACCAAAGGGGATCGTGAGCCGGCCCGAAGGGGGGTGCGCCGAAGGTCATGGGTTCACAGAATGTTGTAAATATGAGATGTCGTTGGGTAACCAGCCCTATCGGGAGCGTGTTTTCGGTTTAGGTTTTTTCCACAAGCGGATACAGACCCGAATCAACTGGAACGCAGGTCTGTGTCATAATGATTGATTGTAGGGGGCGGAAGAGTCAGGGTCGTTAACGGGATGGTTAACGGGATGAGTAGTGAAGGAAGTAGGCTGTGCAGCAGAGACATTTCGGGGGGAAAAAAACCAACAGAGCGTAGCGAGAATGTCCGCACTCAGTATTGCAACCACTGACACCGTTGATGAATGGGTCATGAGCCGAGGGTCGTGGGTTCAAATCGCAACGCACGCGTGTGTCGTGGATTCAAAGCGCAACGCACGCGCGTGGTACGGGTGGGTGCTTCGCCGACAGGGGGCGTAAAAATATTCGTGATGCGAAGCTTCGTTGCGGCCGTCCGGTGCGTTTCCTCGGCCTCCTGCCTGGCGGTGTTGCCGTGGGCCCTGGAGAGAGTTGACGTTGTTCTGGACATGCCCGAAGCGGGTTTGGATATGGCAGTCCCCGAAAGAGTGCCCCCGGCTTTGGATCCACAAGAGGTCCTCCCCCCGACACGGTTCAGGAGCCAGGCGTGGCAGAACATCCAGAACCGCACCCGACGGGAACTTTTCCCAGTACACGGCTTCGCCCCAAGTCGGGCCACAGTTTCGACCTCGATTTTCGACGTATCCGACCTCGATTAGTAACGTCCCAAACACAAGCCGAAGAGATTTGTGGGTTCCAGCAGGCCATTTTTGCCACAAGACATGCTTTATGTGGTAGCAGTGTAATTACTCATGGGTGGTGCGAATGGCAGTGACACGGACGGTGGCGCAACCAGGCAGGGGTGTTGTGAGCACGGACTGAACCCTCAGGGTATGCCGCCAGCCTTGGGTCACAACGGTTGGTGACAGCTACTGGACTGCCGAGTGTGCAGAGGAACGGGGTCGGGAGGCGACGGCCAGCTGTGTGCTTGGCCCAAGCGACCGCGCCGGGGAGGTTAGGAAGGCCTGGAGGGGCCGGATCCAACCTCGTCCGGAGAGTGCCTGAGGGGATACGGGCGGAGCGAGCGGACGAGTGAGTGCAGTTCCCGACTGGTTGCCGCGAGGCGAGTCCTTGGCGCGGTGAGGCGCCTCGTCATTGCTCTGTCGACATGTGCCGGGTCTATGGTGAGACTCGGGGAGAAGTGTGGTGTCGGGCCGAGAGTAGGCCGTCAGTAGAGTTATTTTTGTATGGAGCAAACGCTCTACGCCTTGGCACTCCGTTCGGCCCTCGAGTCACAACCAACTCCCAGACAGCTCAACCACTGGCAGATGGGGGGCCATGGGTTGATCAAAAAAAATGCGGAGTCTGGAAGGTGGCGTTTGTCGCTATCGTGCGAGCGTCTGTGTGTCCGTGTTAGTGATGGGACCGGAGCGGGAGTCGGTGGAGGCGAGACTACGTATGCCAGAGCCGGGTGTGCCGGACCTGGGTATGCCAGACCGGGGTATGCCGGACCCGGGTGTGCCGGACCCGGCTGTGCCGGATGAGCAGGAGGTGCAGTTGCGGTTCCCGCG